ACATCGATGTTAACACATTGACCAAAAACCATCGATGTTTGCAAACATCAATGTTTTAAAGCAGATTTAGTTCTATCTCAAACATTCAATTCGTGCGCAACAAAATTTAATTTGATAGTGTTCGGGTATATTAATTCATAAATTTAACTCAAAGTAAAGTAATACAACGCCTCTCCATGTAAAAAAAAACACAATGAAAAACTAAAGAAATAACAAAATCATCAGGATCTTCTCGGGCAAGGGATTGTGTGCTAGATGAAAGTAGTACAAAGCCAGTCATTATTAATGTTACGAAATTTACACTTTAACAAAATTGTGATTATAAAAATGCTTCATCCATATATGAAACCAAAAAATGTAAAATTCATCGAGCACAAAATATCGATGTTCAAAAACATTGGATTCAATATATCGATGTCGCTGCTCTCCTGCGAACCCGCTTTGCCGTCCACACAGTACGACCGGAACGTAAACTCCAGCGGTTGACGGCGTGCGGTCTATTTCACCGCGGATCGTCCACGGCAATACATTTTTTTCGTTAAATCATTACAATACTCTTCCCCTGACTAAGTATGCACGTAATAAAGCGAGAAAGTAAAACAGGGCGGCCACTCGTTTCCTAAAACATTTTACCCAGTTTTCCAGAGTATTTTCAAGGTTTTCATTGCTGATACTTTTCGATAATTTTACACTATTTAAATAAAATATTAAAGCATGGCTGAAACTAATTTATCTCTCAGATTTCATCGTGATAAAGTACTGAGTAAAATAAACTCAACAAATAGAAATTGAATAAAAAAATAAAGATGTACCGTTTTTGAGGAATAATATGTAGTTTTCTAACCATCTCAAAATCTTCGTTCTCTCCTAACGATTCTTCCACAAATTCCCGAACTTCCAGAGCAACAAAATTCCCTGGGCGCCATTTGAAATGTGTCACTGGCGCGTGTTTGGGTCGTTTCCTTGCCACTGCGTGCAGCCGCTCTCCGCCTCGCGCCGCGGCCACGTGGGGAAAGCACACTCGCATTGCGCGCATGCCGCCCGGGCCGAGGCGAATGGCAGCGGAGGCGTCGACCCCAGCGCAGGCGCAGGCGGAGGCGGAGGCCGCAGCGGGCAAGTGCAACCGACTCGCGGTGCGTCCGACGGACGACGTGGCCACGAGAGGATTTCACTACTTCTCTACTCGCAATTGGTTCTTCCCAGAAAACATAGGGCAACTCGGTTTAAGAGCAAATATACGTGATGGGACCAGCAGCTCTGAAGCGGCACCTATTGCGGAGCTTGCGCTAATGAATGCAAACAAAGTAAATGCAGTAGAAATAATCTTAAAAAACTATTCATAAAAAACAATGCGAAAGTTAACGGTAGAAGTGGTTCAAGGCACCAACTGCCACAAGACCTCAAAGGCACCATTGCAGTGCCTCTGCCCGGAAGGTTGTAGGTTCGTAACCCGACGGTGGCAATATTTTCGACACTAGCTACACAGCTAACAAAAAGGCCAGAGACCGTGAGCGATCTTGCCTTTGTCTTCCATGTCCTACCCTCACCCCTTTCCTATAGACACTCACATGCACTACACAACCACACATGCCGGGAGACCAGTCGGGAACTTAGACCATCTTCTGGTTGGGGCGATGTCCCGCTGGTGCGAGATATCTGCTGAGATAATAATAAACGAAAACGTTAAGCAATGACAGCGAAGAGATGGAAACTTGGCAAAAGGTGGCCTTACACCAGCAACTGCGCGCACCGCTCATTATCGTGGAAATGTGTCACCTCCACTATCTGCGTTAGTGTGACCTTTTCCTCACTTCAGAAATTTCTCGAATGTGTATCCTTCAATTTTGTACCTTTAGGTTTAAAACTTTTAACAATCAAACATCACAGAGGTCTAAGAAGTGTAACAATTTCGTATGCTTAGAGGGACATCAGTACACATACCAATGAAAATATATGAAACACTTTTCTTTCCAATTCCAGCGACGCGAGTGATTTAATGCATAAAGTTTATTTTGTGAGCTTGTTGGACCAAGAACGTACAAAGGTTAGTGTATTGAATGCATGAATATTGTATGTTATACATTTGCTTGCATATGCGAGCGTGTATTTCTAATTTCTTCACAGTGACTCGTGAATGGCTCTTCAGTACTTGGGTTCATACCACCAAATATCGTCAAATGGATAAGCGTAGGCGTACTATTTTGACTTCCTATTAGATATCATTTATGTCAATGATAAACAAAATTTAAAAAAGGACGTACTTCTTTGCTGAGACAGAGATTAGTAAAAAAGATTGGCGGTAAGACACCAATAGGGGCGGTGCAGGTCAGTAGATACTGCGTAAGAGACGAAGGCAGGGATGTTAGGGACGCAGCAGTAGGGAGTCTGAGAAGGCTGAAGATGAAGTCAGTATAGTGATGAATTTTGATGAGGAAGACGTAACTGTACTCGCGATGAGATGCAAAGCCATTGCAGAGGTTCGTTCGTTCTCATAAATTTATCATTGGAATGCGAGTACGTAACAATCTTATTTCACATTGCTCACAACTGATTTATTCACATTTCACTGGTATTTATCCTCAAACTTCACAAACTGGTAAGTTAATATTTTTAAATATGTTAAATTTTATTTTAAAAAATTCATCGATCAAACCCCTTTTTTCTTCAGTTCACGGACGAACTATACTAACCACGATATTTCAAATTTCTCAAAAGGAAATGTTCAATATTGCCAAGGATCACAGAAGGCAAGTGAACACAAGACAGTTGTGCAATAACAAACCTCAAATCTCTGATCACAAGAGAAACTACCTCATTTTAAATCGCGTACGCGGCTGGATGGCCATCTGAACACTAACTTGATACTATGAAATGCAAAGAGCCTAAGTCAATAGTACATTTGTGTCGTAAGCGCCCTGGCGCATCACTGTGTTCATTAGAGAAGTGCTACGTTCGATCCCAGACTAGTTCACCGCGGAAGGACTTGCATTTGAAGTTCTCGGAACTTCCAAGCAAATGCTTGTTTGGCATATCTAACCTGGACTCCGAGAATTATCATTCTCCTTTGTTTCCAAGTGAGATGTCTTCACTGTTGATTGAATCTGTCTGCACTGCTGAATCTAATGTCATTTGTTTTTATTTCCAATTTGATATTCTAAAGTAAAATAAATTGGTAGATAGTTTTGCGCAGGACAAAGGTTTCTTTCCACAAATAACATGAAATTACACTCTTCACAATCTTCAAATAAAATGTATATTTTTTTAATGACAACGATCAGTTTAATTCACTGAAAACATTAACTATCTTTGAATGAAACTGCGTGTGTATCAAAGATGAGTTCCACTGTATTTCAAGACGTCTTTCGAATTTTGTGAAAAATCAATAATCCGCAGCGTATCGATTACATATCCTAAAGAAGCATCTGTTGTATTGACGAGTATACCTCAGTTCTCCAAAATCAAGAAAACCGGCAAACAACATTAATATTTATGTGTCTATTCGTGTTGCTGCAGTTTGTATGATCAATTTCTATCAGTAACATTATCTAACCCCAAGCAGTCAAACTGCCTAACCGAATTGCGCGCTGCGAAAACTAAAGAATTGTACACCAGTTATAGTTCTTATAGCACATTTCATTGTTATTCGGTCAGTTTTTAATTTTTTATTGATTATAAGGGCACCCTATCCGAAAATCTTTTGACATATTCTTAAATCAGAAGTAATAATAATTTTTAAAAAACCTGTCTAAGCTCCAGTTGCCCTAGTTTTACGATACAATCTGGTGGATGCAGGAAATAAATTGTTTATAGTATTGCCTTACCAATCTAAACTATTAAACGCGTGTGCATAGTTTTCAATCTATATAATCTACCCGGCATCTCAGTAAATATAGCAATCCGATCATAGCATATCAAATTCTCTTATTTCTTCTAGTGATAGATATTGATAATAAAGAAAATAACATTTCTTCATTCGTAAAGTTGGAGGCACTACCCACCCACGGTCTGCCACCTCAACAGCGCCCTGCCTCTCAGACCACCACCGCCATCGCCGCAGCCGCCAATTACAAAATTCCTGTCGGGCGGCGAGAGGGAGGGGGCGACTGCGAGGGCACGACTCAGTCAGCGAAGCAGTCAGGAAGGCGGTGTGGCGACAGCGGCGAGAGCAGAGGGCGAGAGCAGAGGGCCAGAGGCCGGGCCAGAGGCCACTGAATCATTATTTAAGGCCACTGAATCTACTGTACTATTATAAGCGCGATGCGAACAAATACATGCGATGCGAAAAAATATTTTCAGTAAAGAAAGTTTCTTTCTATTCCCTTAAATGTATACAAACATGTTTAGTTAAAAGGTGCGCCTTCATGCAATAACGCATAGTATATCTAATAGTGCGTACAACGCTTTTTTTTAAAACAATGTGGGTCACTGTAATTTGGGCGTGAAGCAGCTGAGATTTCAGGGTGCGTTTTCGAAATATGATTGCTTAACAGAATTTTCGAAAGTGAGTGTGCTTGCGTTTTATCATGGTAGACGAACAAAGCAGAAAATATTTTTTTGTTACATTATTGCAAAACAAGACATCCAAGCACATTGTTTTACAGTTCCAGCACAAATAACGCCTTTGAATCATAACCAACAAGCATCAAAACAGGGTGAGATAGGTAACGAAGAAACACATTAGATGATCAGGAATGCGAGGTAATGTCGCAACGTTTGGTTGAAACCATCTCGTTCAAAACTGTTGGTTTCCGATTTGTGTTCGCTTGCACGTAGACTTGAGAAACGTGATAACTTTCATAAACAAAAATGATAAGGAAGTTGGTATTCTGCAAGTGATAAATTTGCGACATAAACACAGAAATAAATGAAACTGCAAGCCATTTTCCGAACTGCAAGGAATTTATCACTTTGTTTGATAATGATTTCGTTATATAGAATAAATACATACAATAAATAGACATTTACAGACAAATACTCGAATACTGCGGAAGTGTACTCACCATGACGTAGTGACGCTGCATCTCAGTCTTCTCGCTGGCTAGCTTTTCGCATTCCAGCTTCAATCTGCAAGAAAAGCAGTAAGATACAATTGTTATCCCGTGTAAGTCGAAACGTACTCAAAGTCATAGAAATTAAAACAATGGTGAAGGAAAAATAGGAGGCAATCTATTTCTCAGAATTCCAATTCAATTGTATGTAATACCACGAGCAGTTCGGACATTTTCGATAAATCCCCGACTCGCGAAGCGGAGAGGAAAATCAAAGATGGTATGCTACAGTACTTACACAGTTTATTGGTTATCGAAATAGCGATCAACGTATACCACCTCCTTACATTGAATCATTCACTCCATTCTGAAATCACTTAAAAATCATTCCAAAGTAGACAGTTACCGGCCCATCTGTATATTAGCCGTAAGTGCCAAAATATTCGAAAAAGTAATTCTTGCCAGATTAAACGAACCTCTCAAAAACATTAGCATAATTCCCAAACGTCAATCCGGATTCATTGCTCACCACTGAACTGTCCACCAACTACTTAGAATAGCAGAACACATCCACTCTGTATTCCAGGAAAAGCAACACACAACATCTACATTCCTGGACATCACGCAAGCATTTGATACAATTTGGCACCCGGGTCTAATCTATACACTAATAAAAGCTGAACCATACTTACATTATTCACGTCATGAAACGTTTCCTAACAGACCGTACATTCTCAGTAATAGTCAACAATCATCACTCCACTCCACACACTTGCGACCCGTAAGGCTCCCCTATATCTACAATATTATTCAACATATGCATATCAGATTTTCGATTATCAACAACTTCTAATAAGGATCAATTCGCAGATGAGTCAGCAGTATTTGCTTCAGGATACTCACTAAATAAACTCCGATCACAAAGTCAAAGTCACTTAAACGAAATTAAATCCTGGGAAAACATCTGTAAACACAATCCTGACAAAATAACAGCAAAAATCTTCTCACTAAGATAGTTAACTTCCCCGCCTCCGTTAGTAGTAAACAGCTTCTTCATCACCTGGACCCCAACATCACAACCCATACAATACTTAGGACTTCACCTGCACACAACACTAACCTGGAAAACCGATATAGATATCAAAACTAAACAAGCAAGAAAGAAATTATACCACCTCCGGCCACTATCAACAAACGAATTCCTGCCATACACAAACTCTATAACAATTTATAAAGCTATAATAAGGCCACTAATGCTCAATATAGTTCAATATGGACAAGCGCAGTCTCCACAAATGTCAATAAAATCCAAGTAATTCAAAACAAATTTATCAGATTAATCACAATTCATGAGTAATAAACAACTCCATTCCGAATTAAACATCAATACAATAATAAACCAAATCGCCCATATATCACACAACTTCTACCGAAATCTAACAGACGTACAGCAGCATCCCATTTCAAACTACCGAAAAATCCAACCCACACCCGAATAAAAAATGGATTCCCTTTTGAGGCCTTTCTCAAAATCTTAGCCAACCACAAAACATAACCCCGAGGTTCTCCCCTAGAGTATTCTCTCCAATATATAGATTAAGTTAGCTTAGATATGTTAACTAGCGTAAGTCGAAAAACACTTTAGTAATTATACTGAACGATGTATTCCATCTAGAAGAAATAAATATGGTAAAAACAGCCTCCTAAAACAGATGAGCCGCAGTTTACGATTGGCCATTTGCGGAAAGTGGTAAGAAAAATCGGATAGAAAAGAGAAACTCTCAAGATACAAAATGCCCCAATCAGGGCGGTGTATGTATAGTTAAACACTATTGGTATTACTTTCACGAGTGGAACAGTCATAGCTGTACGTGTTGTCATTGACGTACTCCAAATGCAACAAATGTGCAAATAATGTTCTAGGCTCATGAGGAATAATAACGAAGTGACGTGGAGCTTAAAATTGTCGACAGAAAACGTTTGGTTTTATGTTTAATTAATAGTCATAAACATTAAGTTTATGACATACGACGTACATATACAATGTATTGTCAAATCAGCCTGACTAATAGGCGTCCCTTATTTTGCATTTTGAAAGTATCCAATCCTACAAAACACTGATTTCAATTTTTAATATCAAGAAATTTGACGACTTTTCTACAAAAAAAGCGATATAAACGAATGTCGAAGTACTCGTTTTTATGAAGAAGTCACTAAATGAAAGTGTTCCAAATGGAGTACTCTCCTCCAATACAGCGGCAACATCGCAATACTTAGAAAATCCTTGGCAAAGAGGATTAACCTGGCTTTAGCAGCGAACTCATCTCGCGGTTGATCCAGGAATTTCCGAGAGCACCCAAGCGACAGAAATTGCCGCGCCGCGGCGCGCGCCCCCGCCGCCTTCGCGTTTCCCAGTCGGTAATCCCGCCCCCTTCCCCTCCGCCCGCGCGGCGGAATGAGCCTCTTCCGGCTCCGTTGAGGACGGGACCAGTCGGGGCGGGACCAGTCGGGGCGGGACCAGTCGGGGCGGGACCAGTCGGCCGGACCTGTCAGCGGGACCTTCGCGGGACCTGTCGGGCCGGGACCTGTCGGGCCGGGACCTGTCGGGCCGGGACCTGTCGGGTCGGGACCTGTCGGGCCGGGACCTATTTAACTACCCTTTTTTTCCTCCAATAAGGATCTTTTTGACTTCATTATTACATTTCTTATTTGCCAGAATATGTCTTACAATAGTATTTTATATTGCAAATTCCCAATATTGTCGGTAATTCCATTTTTACTGCATATATTGTAGATTGTTATTTGTAAATACCTTTTGTTTTTGTTAGTGAGTTTTTCAAGTTGTAGGCAAATTTTGACAAACTCTGAATTCACGTGGTATTTGCAAAAGTTTTACATATTAATGCATACCTTTACTACATAATTTACATATATATCTTTACTACATAAATTACAAGTAATTACAAGATACATTGGACGTGTGCTTAAGCCGGGTAATAAGTAAGAGTAAATGTTTTACTATTAAAATCCAATATTTTGGTGTTTTTGAAGTAGCAAGATAGTTTGGATTCGTAATTATGCCAAAAGAAATTGTAACAGACTTTCTTTCCTTCTAGAATCTAGAATCGGTACCTAATGGAAATCATCATTACAATTCACCTGAAGTGTTGCATTCAAGTAGTCTGAGGTGGTCGTCATCCCAGAAATTAGATACTGACTTGCCTGCGAGCAATTGGCACAGTAAATTCCTCCTAAGAAAGTGATTACGGAAAAATTTATACGTTTGAATTATTTTTTTTCCCAGGGGAAGTGGTATTTGTGAAATAAAACATATCGGAAAAGTATGCTTTCGTTACATTTTATTTACGGATATCTGTCGACTTGGGTATGAGGAACACGGCGCAGGGCATTGTACAGTGGATCGTCTCTACAGGCGTCTGGCGGAGTGCGCTCTGTGATCTCGCCTCCTAATCAGGAGCGCCTCCAATCTCGACAGGACCGCACGGTCCGAGTGCTGGGCATCGTACCCCAATCAAACACCGCTTCTGCGGACATATGTAGCGTGCAATGAACACATACCGATAACACTCGCTCGTCGGTTTCACAAAGCACCGTCCAACCTTGCCTGCTCCACCGACTGGCAACCTCACCCTCAGCATGATCTGCTTATCTCTCTTACGACACCTCCAGTAATTACTACCTGAATGGCTTCTCCTCACCGCCTGCCAACGCCCAACTCTTCTCAACCGTTTGCAAACATACTTGGCCTACCAAATATTTCTGACATTCCGAGAAGTATTCACTGTTTCTCAAGCTCCATTTACCATGAATCTCTACATTTCTGTTAACCCTTCAACTAACGATCTTTCCTTTATCTTCACATGAGACACACTGACAAACCTTTCCTTTACGCCCTACGGACGTCTTCTCTCCAAGCGTCTGTAATTCTTGTCTCTATCACCTCTACTTGATCCTCACGCCTCTCAGTCGCCCATTCCAAACCACCGCCGCGTCCTTCATGGAGCTGACGTCATCGTCCGCAGTGCCCAATCAGTCAGCTTCCGCCCGTCAGTCAGCGCCGTCGGTCAACTGGTACCTGTCACTCCACAGGGACAACCGCTAATAATTGTCGACAGCCACCGACCGCATTATCCTACCAGTCGATAGGCGCCATCACTATCCCCGACATTGTCACTTTTATACCCACGGAAATGGTGGGAACACACATGGACGGACACAGGATGAAATTCAAGCTACAATTTACCACCAACCATTTTATTTTTATTTTTTTAAAATGACACACATGAATTTTTAAATAACTTGCACGTCAGTCATTCATATTCATAGTAACTCAACGTATCTTTGTGGTCACAAATGCTTGAAATGACTTATGAACTTTCTTGAAATCACAGTTCTAAAGTATAAAATAATTCAAAATGACACACTGATATGCTAAGATCCAAAAATATAGTACCTGATGTGGACACGCCAGCTCTCCCATCCACTTCAGTAAAGTGAAGACGAAATCCCTTACAATTAATACTAAATGATTTAACATTTCGTGCCGTGCAAATCGTTACGGTAACAACTAATTAAGATTCAGGTCTTTCCATTGAAGCTTCGTGACAAGATTTATTTCCCGGTATGAGATGTTCCGTTGGGGATCCCTCCTTCACAGACGGTCGCCATCTTCCGTCCCTCGCCGGTCAACCACGAGCCTGGCCCTGCGCGGCGCGGCGCGGGGCGCCTAGCGCCGTCCCCGGATCCTTCACCCGGCGCCCAACAGCGGTTCGCCTGCGGGCGGACGCCGTTCTTGGAAAGTCGCTCCGCCGCAGCCGCCGTCGCGTCGTTGCTTCCGCCCGCGCCGGAGCTCGGTTTGATTAGCGCCAGTGTCAACACGGGTCGCCAGCGGCGATTGAGCAAGAGAGAGAGAGAGAGGGGGGGAGGAGAGAGAGGAATGAAGGCGGAGACGGAACGAGGGCAGCGAGACGAGGGCGAGGAGAGGAGAGAGCAACTGAGATAGAGGGCCAGGGGATTCAGAGGAGGCTGGGCGAGGAGGTAAACGAGTGTCGCTAT